AGAATAGTAGAAAGTCAACGAACACAAAATACGAGCACAACCATCAGGTAATTTCGGTAACTTGTGAAAAATTTTAAGGATTAGATAATGTAGTTATGAATTTAAAAGAAATTTTTATTTATTCTTATTTACGTAAAAGAAAATAGCTTGATTATTTAGCTTTAAATGCTATAACAAGTTCAACATTTCTGTCATTTGATAATGATAATTCTTTTAATTTAGAAAATATTACTAATATTACTCTTCCACCACTTCCTATAAAGACTAGATGGAATTCATTATTTAACTTTATTATTTGGCTAAGCCCTTATATAGATTTTTTTCCTTTTTTTATTGCTAATGAAATTATTTTAGCAGGCGATAAAGCAAGCAAAGCTCTTAAAGATTTAAATACATCATTTCAAGACAATGCACATAAGTTTTTTTTAAAGATAGTTATTATGTTTATTACTTATAATGCGCAACCGTAAGTAATTAATATTATATATGCTATAATATATATATTTGTTTATTATAATTATATATATTTATTTATATAATCATATATTTATTATATAATTTTTATTAGAATTATAAATAATTTAGAATTTTTCAAGATTCGTAATAAACCTGTTGCAGCATATATTATGTCCCGAATAGAACAAACACGATCATTTTTACAAGCAGGAATTATTGACCCACTATTAAATACTCAAATGAAAGATGAATTCGATACAAATAATATTGATTCTGAAGCTTATAAGATTATGTTCCGTGAAGTATTTCAATTGGCATTAAATAAGTTCAACAAACATATTAATAATCATTCAGCACTTGAACTTTTTTCTGCAATTCAATATTTTGATCCACGATGGATTCATCAACAAACTACAAAAAAAAATCTTCATTCATATTCAGTTATTCAAGAATTTAGTAAGCCAAATAACTAGTTAATCCAAGAATGGGGAATTTATTGTGGTAGTGAAGAGGTTTTTTGAATTAGATTTTGATATTAAAAAATATTGGTTAGAAAAACCCTGTTTTTTACCTTGTTTAAGCAAGTTAGCTTTAAAGTACATTTGGCTTTCAATTTCTGGTGTCGATATAGAATGCAGTTTTTCTGCATACAAAAATATTTTAAGTGACAAACGGTATTCACTTTCTATTGAATCTATTGAAATGCTAAATATATTATATTTTAATCAGCATAATATGAATTAGAAATTATATTCAGCTTAAATTATATAAAATTCATAAGCTATATAAATATTTAATTTGAATAAATAATAATAAATAAGTATTTATTCTCTTTTAGTTATTATTACAATACAATAAACAAGAATTTAATCAGTTCTATATATAATTTTAACTTTCACATAATTCACATAATTTAGCTCACATAATTCACATAATTTACAATTTATCACACACATAATTTGGCAATTACCAAAACATAATTCTGGACACTCTACTCTAGTTATACCAACTTATGAAAATCATACTAATTTATAAAAATTACAGCAATTACAAAGATTATATTAATTTATAAAGATCATAGCAATTACGAAGGTCATTCTAACTTACAAAAGACTGTAAGTTTTATTTTTTATTTAACCTGTGTTGAATTGTTAGTGAGCACTAAGATTGTTTATTAGTTAAGTGTTCAAGTTAATAAATCTATACTATTGTGTAATCATTCATTTATATTAATTTGATTTTAAAGCATTTATTTAGGATTGGATACTGCTATCAAAATAACCAGATAAAATTCACCATCCAAATTTGTTTCAGATCACACGATAATGATTTTAATAAAAGCATTGGTTCATTATATTATTCTAAGTTAGAATTACGATACTTATTAAATTATATCGTGTGCTCTGAAAAAAATTTGGGTAGTGAATTTTACCCGGTTTATCAAAATGGAATTGGAACTAAAAAGAATGAACATGTGGCATTTATTTATCTATCGTTTTTATAGTTGGGTAAAGTTAGCGGAATATGTTTTTAATGGAATTGAAGTTTAAAGAGATGAACACAAGGCATTCGTTTATTATTAAAAATCAGCAGAGACAGGGCACACTTGTGAAATAAATATTATGAAATTGGAGTTAAAAATGACAACCGTAAGATATTCTTTGTTATCAAAAAGCAGCAGAGCTGGATAACGCTACAGAATATATAACATTGGATA